GAATTCTTCCAATACAAGAACGACTTCTGAAGGAACCACATCGGCAATATCCTTAGGAGCTTCTCTAGCAATGAGGATGAAAATGGGAGCTTCATTGGATAGCTCACAATCGATCTCTTTGGCTCCAATCAAGTTAACGCCTTTGGATGACTTGGTTGTATTGAGCTGCTTGTCACTACCTTTCGTCTGAACAGGAAGGATTTTGATCTTCCCGTCATGCTCGAACAATAGCATGTTTGATTGCCCGAAGATATGAACATTGTTATCAAACAGCCAGGGTCTTCCAAGAATAACTTGACCCACATCCATCTTCAGAACATCGTACCAAACATTTTCCTTATAAATGGCAAAGTGAAGAGGGACTAAACACCTCTCTTGGACATGAAGTGCAGTGTCATTAATCCATGATACCTTATACGGATTAGGATGGGGTACGGCCTTAAGACCACTCTTGGATATCACAGCTGAGAAGACCGCATTAATGCAGCTTCCACTGTCCACGATCACGTTGCAATTCTTATCGCCAATTTTTGTGAACATATGAAAGATGAAAGTACGCCTCCAATCATCAACAGTCTTGGGTTAGGAGATGATACATCTAACAACATATATGGTAGGGATTTTAATCTGCCTAAGATAACCTAGGACAGAATCATCTATATCATCCTCAAAATCATCGGTATCATCGTCAACTTGATGGACAAATTCACCCTTATCAAGTTTAGGTTCATATTCATATTGGTCATCGATGATAGAGACCTTGTGATAGGTCGGACAGTTTGCAGAAACATGTCCATACCCTTGACATTTGTAGCACTTGACGTAAGGGCCAATCTTGGAGAAATTTGTCCCTGATTCCTTACCCTTGGGGTCGACTCTAGACGGGGAAGAACTAGGGTTAGGTCGACTCAGAGGTTGACAAAAGGTAGTGGCACGTAAGGACTGGGAGGAATAAGTTCGAAAGTCTTAACTCCTATGAGATTGATGGGATTTAGCCTCATCTAAATCTTGAACTAAGGTAAAGGCTCTCTCAAGGGTGTCTACTCCTCTAGCAAAGAGTTCTGTCTGGAGGTCACTTCTCATTCTAGCTCTAAACTTTGATAAGATTTTCATTGGTGTATGTTACTCAATGGTGCTGCATCGAGTAAACAATTCGTCAAATTGAGCGACATACTCTTTTGCAGATTTGGTTTCCTGAGTAAGTCGATGCCACTTGTCTAGCAATCTTTGATAGAACGATGGCAGGAGGTATTTCCTTTTTAACTCGTCGGTCATTTCTCGCTAAGTTAAAATTGGTAATTCTCCTCTAATATGCCTTAACATTTCGAGGTTAGACCAATATTGGCAGATTGATCCGGTAAGCTTCATTGCTGCAAATTTGACTTTCTGTGGTTCCGTCAAGACGTACCCGTCAAAGTAGCGATCCATGTTATTCAGCCAATCCAAGAAAGATTATGGGTCAAGCTTACCATTAAAAGTTGGTGCTTCAACCTTAATACTCCTCAGGTATTGCACATCCGGATCATGCACAGGTTGAGGTGGGGGTCGATAAACGATGTGCCCATGACCATTCCTATGACTTTGCGGCGACGGAGTTGTAGCACGCGCTTCCTCAAACCTAACGAGCCACTCATTGGTGACATTTTGGAAGTCTGTCAGGGCCTCGCGGGTAATTCTACATTCCTGGACTATAGCACCTAGTTGTCCTGCTAGCTCATCAAATCTCTTAAAAAGTACAGAATCTATACTGCCTGACATGCTGGACTCACTAGACGATTCATTTGACTCTCTTAATCGATAAGGTAGACCTGTGCGAGTGCGCATGCACTAACTAAATGAGATGAATGGTATGCACTAATAACTAAATGAGATGCACTAACAACTAAATGAGATGAATGATAATAATAAATTTTTATCAAATAAAAAAATTAATTAAACTAATCTAAAAATTTTATAACCTAGAACCATGCTGTGATACCAAAAATGATGTGAAACAATATGTACGCATGTATGAAGAACAGCGACAACAATGCTTCACCAAATCAGCGATCGATCTAGGCAGGAAATTCGAGAAGAAAGTGAAGCTCTAGATGGTTTTTAACAAAGATTACAATGTACTAAGTTTACGGCCTTGTAAATTATTCAGAAAATAAATGTAATGATTCGTTCTCGTAATAAAGTTCGACTTGTAATACTTAGATCAGCAGATATACGTGGCAAACAGAGTCACTCGCTCAATAGTCAAGCAGAATACAGCACAATCACAATTGATATTAAAATTGATAATAACATACACGCGTTAGTAGTTCCTAAAATACTAGGTCGAAAAAAACGAAACCTTAATCGGTCTAAACACGCTCGACGTGAGGGACCTCTGAAGGTGGTGTGACAACGCCGAATATGAGGGGGGGTTCTCCTCTGAGAGCTACGTAACTAGGGTGAAGTGCGTCTCGGTGGAAACGCCGATGCTACGAACTGATTCTCAAACGACTCTCCACGCTATCAGTAATCTAAAGTGTCACGCGATCCACGTAGTCTGCGAGGGTGTCGAAGGACTGATAATCGAACCACTGGGAAAGATGCCAATCAAGAACGTCGGTTTCTGGATCGTACACGAACTGGGCGTCTTCGGCTGCAGGATCGGTCATGCACCAATGGGTCGCGGAATCAGACTCGATTCGACGACGAACGATGTGGAGATCTGACAACGACGAAGCGAGGCGGCCTATGGCGAACTGGATGATGATGTGTACGACGGTGTCAAACTGAACGACGACGACGGCAATGACAGGAGGGCCAAGTGGACGGATCTGTCGGTGTTGGCAACAGCAGGGGAGGGGGAGTTGGGTGTCGAGAAAAATTACAGATTTGGAAATCTCACAAAATCAATCAAATCTCTCACAATCAATCAGATATTAAAACTAAATAACTTCCAAATCTAACCCACAATTCAAATTTCAAATTAACTACTAAATTGAAAATCAAAACCACATAGAAGGGATCCGATGCAAAGCTGAAACACCGCGTCTCCTGCGCTGATAAACATGTCGAAATCCCGTACACGTGCCTAGATATCCGCATCGGTTCTCATAGTGGGTCAGTCACTACTTGGAAAATTCCACTGTCTTTAGTCCATTTTATACTCCAAATTCTCATGCAGCTCTTAATTAATGGCATACACACAATGCCCGTGCATTCTTACAAGACTATATCCAAGTTCAGCAGCAAGGTCACCAAGATCTCCAATTTAACTGATGGCGCATGCACACTACATGGTATAGATCAATGTATATAATGCACAGGCCTATAAGTAGCCATTCTTTAATAGAGCTAAACTTTGCCGTAGAAATAGAAAATATGATGTTTTATGAAATCTATACTCAAAAGTCAAGCAAAGAGTACTGTACAGTCTAAAATGCGTTGACACAAACATGGTAGCTCTTTGAAAAGGAGACATAAGACAAAACATGTGTGTTTCTTGAACATGTGTCTGGTCAAGAGAATCTCAAAGAGTAAAGAGAATTTTAAAGAGTTTAACTGGTTCATGAACAATTAGTGTTTGCCAAAAAAGGGAATAAGATTCTTCATCATGCACATATATGTAAGAAGAATAAAGGTTACATGTTTGTAACATTTGGGAGGCAGATTTCATCCAACAGGAATGGACAATTCAACTTGTGCTGAAGAGAAGCGTCTCATAAATCGTTACATGTCTATAAACTTAAGAAGCACAGGAAAAAGAATGTTTTTGTTCATGGGCTTTAAAGAATACATCTATGAGGATAATATAATCGCAAAAGGGGAAAGGTCAAAACCAAAGATATGAGGTTTAACAAAAAGAAAGAAACAGGGAGTATGCTATTTTCCACATTTACCTCAAAATATTGATAAAATAATAAAAAAAATTAAATTGCTTGGTTGTCTCTGTTCCTTCCCTTTATCATTGAGTCTCTGGTCTATTGCTTTGGAGCTTTAGAGTTTTACTCGCAAACTCTTGACGACATATTTAGGGGAGAGAAAATAGCATCAGAAGAGATGGGTTTAATATGCCCTTCAATTTGTTAAATAGTAAATTTGATCGATAGTTAACAAAAAAAAATTGATGATTCATCTTCTTAAATCTCACATTAACAAATAATGCTTGTGGCTCTCATCAAACCCAATATATCCTATAGTGAAAACAAGAACAAGAAAAAAAAGATTAGTGATTCGTCTTCTTCAATCGCACATTAACGAACAATGCTTGTGGCTGTCATGAGACAATATCACAAGCCAACGTTGTTCACGTAAAAGTACAGAATACTCAAATAAGCATTTGATACATTGACAACTGGTGAATAACATAAGGAAAACTTCATGTAAAATTGAAAAATTCAACCCTTTGTTTAGTTTATCCTATTCTACTCTTCCAGTGTACCACACCAATAATGTGAGAGGAATACATAATCATAATATACGAGATATCCCAAACTACAGTACCATCTAAATATCTGAACATACACATCCATTCATAAATTACCATGTAGAGGGCAGGTCCACTTTATAATTAGGATAACCATATTTAAGATAAAGGTTACATAAAGCGCTAAGCAGCCGAAGGGCCGGACCCGACGCTTAGAGCCTAAGCCAAGGTGGATTTCTTTTTTTGTTTACGTGGTCGTGGAAGAGGTTTTGTTGAAGGTCAGAGGGATATAGGAGGTGTTCATAGTTGGTGGAGGAGGTCAGAGGAGTTCGGAGGAAGTTGGAGGACTTGGAGACTATAATGGAGGAAATCACAATCAAGACGTAAGCAGTGCAGTCCGTGTACGCAATCGAAGTTCCTCTAGGCGCTCCCAAGACCTATCCGGGCCACCTGGGTACAGTATAGGCCTAGGCAGGCTACGCAACCGCTTTTTAAAACATTGTTTACGATAGTGTATAAAAGAAACAACCTCATGCAGACTTCATATGGAACCAAGAAAAACAATAGAATAATGGGAAGTTTTGTTTAGTAAACTTACAAGACCTCCTTGAACCAGATCATAAGCCTGCATAAGATAAACAAAGAAACACAATCAACCGAATAGTAGAATTATGTCATGATGCCAAGTTTAGAAGCTATAGAATACTAGACAAGTATTCAACTCAATCCTATGAAATTAAACAGCATTTGCATGTGTTACATCATCAAAACATACTAAATCACAGCATTTATAGATTTAATCAGAAAGTAACATATTACCAACACTCCCTTAGATGTGGTAACACTTGACAGATGAATCACTCTATCATCAACTAAAGCCATATGAGTACAAAACCTCCGATAACATCTTGAAGATTTCATTCTGGATATACTTAGAAATACTCTGCCATTTTGATGTCCGTCATTCTGAAAAAGGCCAAACCTATGTGAACACAACAAGAGCTTCCTCATGGGATAATCAAACAAAAAATTTTAAAATTAATTTCTTCCCAAACTAATAATAGTTTCATGTTGACCTCCTATAAGAATGACAAAAGCACATCACAAATCAGTATAGCACGTTGAGCATGGTTTTTTTACACACCAAGTGTAAAGCAGAAGTGTCAAGATGCAATCATGCAATAAGTACTTACCTAAAAACTTTATTGTCTGGAAACAAGACTAATGAGAACTATGTTATTTGTTGGGTTTTTCCCCCTAGAAGCCATCTTTAAGATAGGGTAATCCTACCAGAACCACCTTTTAATTTCAACTTACACACAAACCAGCTTTAAAGTGAGTTTGTAATGCAATCAATACCGCTTAGTCAAAATGTTCACTAAAAACCAAAAAATATCCTTAAAACTCATATTTAAGATACATGACTCATTTTCTTAATGTTTAGGTTTAGGTCTAGTCAGGTTACAAATTACGCGCATTGAAGGTTAACTTTTTAAGGTTATTTTTTATACTTTTAGTGAAATTTGATTGGGAGGTGGTTGATTGAAGCACAAACTTGCTTTAAAGGTGGTTTATGTACAAATTGAAATTCAAAGGTGGTTCTGGTAGAAATATAATTACCCTATTTTCAATATGGCTTCCATGAAAAAATCCTTACTTGTTTACAACATGGAAGAGAAAACAGAAACATGCTTTGTGACCATAGGGACAGTTTGGTCACATCACTTTCATAAGGGTTACCCAAAAAAACAAAGATCAAAAGAAGATAATAATGAGATCAGGACTTAAAACTGAAACAAACATATTTTTTTACCTTTTCCTATATAGTGAATGTTAACTTTATGAGCAAAAACATTCACATCACTAGATTTTAATAATAAACTTAAAACTTAATCCACACCAAAAACTTTGGTAATAGTAGTATAGTACAAAGCAAAATCACAGATTTTCGTCTTATGAATGAATTAAATCTTATAAATTTACTGATGTTAAAAAGAATGAAAATATGTTCAGATGCAATATGATCCTAAGGTTGAACAATAAAGTTGTATTCATTCTCTAGCCTATAAACTTCAAGCATTTTTTTCTTCTTCGAGAAAGAACTTGATAAATGTAAGTCCCCGTATATTAATCTGATTTTCACAAACTATAGATGTCTCGCTATCATTCAAACTCTTCAGGGTGCATTATCCGCCACAAACACATACATACACACACACATCGGCTCGACTATTGTCTACTTGAAGTTGAGGAATGTATGCTTGAAGGATATTCACGAGGATAATGGGAAAGATATTCAGAGGATAATAATCTCTCCTTAAGTCCAGGTTTAATATACACGTTGTTACAGTTAGATGGGAAATAATTTCTGCTTCAGCCAACGGAAATTCTATGTTGTTTCCTTTTTATATGGGCAATATAATTTCTTTTTAAGCTCAAGCCTTGGGGAGCAGAGCAAACCCTAGACCAAGCATCTGGTTGAACTGGTACTTTTCGACTTGCGCGTAAATTTTCAAGGTTGGATTGGATTAATAGTTGAGAGGAACAAAGAAACTTACTTTATCCAAACAAATATAGATCCTTAACTATGTTAAGCCTTACAGAATCTGAGTTTTTATATAAATGGTTAAGAGCTATATATGATCATATATCAAAGCTTAAACTTTTTAGCAATCTCCGCAGCTACTGAGCCTTCGCCTGTTTAGCAACTTTCTTGGAATTTAAATTGTCATAAAGCAAAAGACAAATTGCATCATAAAACATAACAGAGCAAAAAATAAAATAAAATAAAATAAAATTCCCCGATCCCACCATAACTCAACAGCAGCATTCATTTTCGACCGATGCGGTGGCATTTTCGTCAATAATGGTAAACAATAAAGCTGAAGAATTCCGAGGGCCGATCTCACCTGGTAGCGCCTCAAAACCGTAACAGCCCCCCTCCGACCCGAAGCCCTTACAGTGGCGGGTTCGAACGCGCGACACGCGATTAGACTCGAGGCCGCGCATTCCGCACGAATCCTGGAGCACGCTAAAGAACACAAATGGTTAGATTTTAGGTTTATGGTTGGAGATGAGAGAAGAGAGAGAGAGAGAGAGCAGGGAGATTTTCCTATGGTGGGAATTCTGAGGACGAGAGAGCGTAGAGGGCGGAGACGACGATGCCACGTGGCAACAACAAACGTCCGTCTTTTGCGACTCTTTCCTTTTCGTGGCCGGTATTTGAATTGGCGAAAACGGCCCGGTATTTTTCGGGAAATTACGCGGACGACCTCCGGTTAAGGTGGAAGTAGGTAGTTGCTTTTGATGGGGCCGTTAATTCACACCATCCTCAAAACTTAGGACGACGTTTTTCCTGAGGATGTTTGTCAAACGGGAAAGTAAATATATAGGCCTGTCTAAACGTACGGCTCCACCCGGCACGGCACGACCTGAGTTCTGTGTCTGAGCTGGGCAAAATGGTCCGGTTTTTTCGGCAAAAAAATTGCTAAACATTAGATCTTTTTTAGTTAAAAAATATAAAATTTCTGGAGTAATTAAAGTATGAGAAATTTTGAGAAAATTTCTATATTATTATTAACCACTTATAATTATACAATTTGAAAAGTTTAAAGAAATCAAAACAATAAAAAATAAATTTTTTATTAGTAATCACTAGTGTTAGTTATAACTTTTTAAAATTATCGCATCACAATAGATGAGTATATCACAACTAAGTTAGCACATACTCATCTATATCACTATCATTTACAATTCTTTCTAAAATAAAAATTATAAATTGCAAATAACTTTCTACTCTTTATCTGCTATCGTCAGCTCATTAAATCTATTTTCATTACTAGCTATCTAGTTGACGTGTTGAGTTCTTTTCTCGTACCTCCATCAATCATGTGGGCACATTACAGCCAGTACGGTAGACGGATCCAACGATGTTTTGTGGTTATCGATCAAACGTCCTGATGTGTTAAATACGGATTTCGAAGCTACGGTGAAAACCTACACTATTAGAAAGTCATCATCCATGATGGAAAGTACAGAAAATGAAACTTTTTCATATACTCTTCACCATTGTAAAATATCAAAATCAACATTCACTAGTGGAAAACCAGGCATCCTTGACGGGAAATCCCGTCAAGGATGCCTAAATCCCCATCGGCGATATATATCCTTGACGATGAGCCATCAAGGATAAGCCGTCAACGATAGTCCCGTCAGGGAAGAATTATCCCTGACGGGGAGCCGTCAGTAATGTGTATTACTGACGGTATTCTGTTGACGGCAAAAGCAGTCAGCGATAGTGACAGCTCATTGACGGCAATCATGTCAACGATATGATAAACATCGCTGGCGGGTACACCGTCAGCGATGTTCATCGCTGACGACAAAACGTCAACGTCAGCGATGATCATCGCTGACGGTACGACCATTCAGCGATGTATAGGAATCGCTAATGGCATTACTGTCAGTGATGTTCAACGCTGACGGTAGTGCCGTCAGCGATGTTTATTATCAGCTAAAAAAATTAATTCTGATTATAATCAGTTCCCTGTACATACAAATCTGCAAACAACATTTCTTGCAATTCCAAAACATCTCGAAATATGTACAATCCAAATTTCACAATTATCTCACATCCATTCAATTTTCACAAACATTTAAAATATGTACAATCCAAATTTCACAAACATCTCGCATCCATTCAATTTTCACAAACATTCGAAATGTGTACAATCCAAATTTCACAAACATCTCGCATCCATTCAATTTTCACGATAAGTTCTAAATCCACAAAAATTTTCATAACAAACCAACAAGCATATCATAATCTCCAATATAAAGATATCCAATATACAAACACGAGTTTAGGATATAACTCACTAAGATAGGTCATTTACCCTATCCATGTCATCTTCCGCATTGCCACTGGCCGCTCCATCCCTACGACCTGTGCTCCTAATAACATCATCTCCACTCTAACAATAAAATAATTTAAATTTAGAATCATATAATATTGTGTGTAATCATGTTTTACATATATAATAAGTATACATGTCTGCTACTCTCTTCACTACCAGTAAATACCTTTTGAGAGGTCAAAAAATTTATAATCTAACTTTGCACCCGAGTAGGAACTCGCCTTCTATAGGATTTTATTATTTACATGGAAACCATCGCAAAAGTAGCAGTAGGGTGGATCACTCGCATAAGCTCATCTTGAATATCCTCTCACATCTCCTCGGGAATCTGACCATCTAAAGTATTCATCACAGAGGAAACAAGCTGCATCGCCTGTTGAGTGCAATCCTCCTGCGACATGTAAGAGGGCCCCGAGGGCATAGTCGATGGAGTTGAAATCTCCCGAGGCTGGAATGGTGTAGACACCCTCTGAGCTCCAACTCCCATTCACCTGGTCCTTCCCTTTTTGGGAAGTCAGCAAACTAAATGGCTCACATTATAATTCTACTCTCTAGTCAGGGGCTCCTGGCTCTGTGCAACAACCTCAGCATATGTGTTTTCCAAAGCTTCTAAAAGACAAAAAAATGAATTTAAGAATTGGCATTTTAAAAATAAAAGATATATTTACCTGAACAAGTAAAATAAAAGATGAAGTTTTACAGTGGGATAATATTGACAAATAACAGAGGGTATCAGTAGCTTTTGTCCAAATACTAAGACATGAAGAAACTCACAAATTACTGACTATTAAACATGGTAAAGCATAAATACAAACTATATATACACACAGACACATTCAGATCTATAACAATTCATGTAAATGATATACTTAAAATGCATGAGGGGTGCAATTTTAACTAATGTAAAATGAGATAGCTTCTGACATACATCAAACTTCAAAGGGAAAATGAAGTTTCCTTGACTGATCTCACGTTCTTAACATACATCAACTACGTATATATAGATATATTTACCTGCATTTTCAAGGCCAATTCAAGCTTTTGTTTCTTATCCTCATCGTCATCGTACCCATTCCTAACGTGAACCATCGTCGTCCTGTGCAGTTCTGGTAGCGGGATAAAGGGAGCGTTCTGAGATTTAAAAATTTATTTATTAGTTTTATTTATCAAATATTCTAGGAAGCGGAGAGAATATATATAGAAGATTAAAAGACTTCATACCGTTGTCCTACAAAATTGATCCTCAATCTGGGCAAATGAAGTAGTCCTCGTATGATGATCATAATCTTTCTTCCATCGATTTAGTTTATTTCTCTGACATTTTTTCTTCAACATGAACAAAGAGAATTTTAGTACAAATTATAATATACAATGAAATATATCACTAGTTTCAGATAAATAATTTGAATCTAATTAACTACTATACATATTTACCTGGTGCTCCTCTTGGCCCCACAATACTATAAGTATAGCTAAATGCTCAGGCTCAACCCTCTTATCTCGCTTGTATATCCTCTCCCAGTTGTGACTAAAACTTTCAAAGCATTTCTTCTTTATCTCATGTCTCCACTCCTAAAGAGAATGCTTGAACTTTCCCAAGTATCCAAATAAAAATTCCCACCCTACGGGATGTCTTCGATGTTAAAATATCTCTAAATATTAACATATAGTTAAGCATGGCCAATTGACAGAATTGTAAAATAATTGATCTAAATAGAGGAATTTACCCAACAATCTTGATATATACTCTCCACGACATGAAAGGGCTGCTCCTCAGCCTCGTAATAAGGATTCACATTATCACTCCTCCGTATCAAGCATCCAAGATATGAGCTAAAGTTATTAGCCCATTGCCCGGTTGGAATCTCCAAGATATGAGCTAAAGTTATTAGCCCATTGCCCGGTTGGAATCTCATTATGTCCCCATCTTACAATTACACGAAAACCATCCGTTGGTAATTTTTTTTAAAGTCACTTCCCTGACGTCCTTTTTTCTTGAAAAGTTTTTCTCCTATAACAAAGAAAAATAATAAATATATCAACACTTTTATTTAATCAATCTTAAGCTCTTAGAATTTAATTTATTATTATCAAATACTCAAAAAATTTTGATCAAACTCACCAAATCTTTGTCTGATTTCATTTTTTGCATCAGATAATATCTCATCAATTTGTGGCCCCCATTCATCCAATCGTTTTTTGGCAAACATGTTTTTTCTGTCTACTTGAGTCTGTACCCCTTTGCATATGCTGGCAAAGGCCCACGCTCAATACCGGGAATATATGCTCGAATTAGCACTGAAGGATCTGCATATAATGGTACGGGAGTCGGCTCTTCCTCGCCCTCACCTAAAAAATAAAAGAAATAAATTATCATTGTGCATATATCATGAATAAAAAATACTTAAGTTAAACTAAGTTATACCTGACATCTCTCCTGAACTCGGTGGCTCTTCCTCGGTGGATTGGTCTTGAATGGGGTTGGCTTCGAATAACATCCTGTTAATATTTTTAGACATCTGCAAGTTGAATAAACATACAAATTAATATATTATAGATGTAATTTGGCTTGGCGAAAATAAAAACAAGATGTATTATTGCGTTACTAAAATTTTTATTTCACGTCAAGTTTATAGGCATCTGCAAGCTGAATATACAAAATAAGATATTACATATTTATATATAATTTATATTGTCCAAAAGGTAATTAAGATATATCGTAGTGATATTAAAGTTTTCATTTTACAACTTGCAAACTAAAAAAAAGTTACATGAAGACCCGATTACAAATAATTATTGTTTAGCTCCTATTAATGTCTGTGATAACATTTGGAATGTCTGTCCGAGTTGTTGGAACATCCATATCAAACACTACGTTTTAAGGGTACGAGAATTCATCGATCGCTGCATTTGGCTCATTGAAGTTGTCTATATAGCTCTCGTCATCATCTTCATTGATAGAAGGTTGAATATAAGCCCTAGAATCCTTGCCACTCATCTTTAACTACAGGATCTTTCACATAGAAACATTGTTCCACCTGAGATGCAAACATGAATTTTTCATCACTATCAATTTCTTTATC